AAAAAAACGGAAACAAGGAACAAAGTGATCAAAGACAAAAAATTCTAACCTATAACATCATCACCGGTCCGTTGAGAACGGAAACTTGTTGCTCTTGACGTCGATGGTGTGTTTTCTAATGACACCATTTCAGTGCTATCTGATTCTAGGTCATATACAGGATTCGAGAAAGTTGTCGAACCAGCCTCGGCAGCCGCAATCTGCTGCATACTGTATTCGATCGGATTGGGGTCCTACAACGAATGTTTAGTACAATGGGAGTGTGCCGGTAGTACTCTAGCTTACCTGTTTACTTTCCAAAGCTGGATTGCTAAATGATATAACATTGCCATGGAATGAGACGCTACTATCGGCGGCTTCATTCTTTTTCGATAGTAGGGCTCGTTTTCTATAAGAGAAATTTTCCTTATCTTTGTCCCTTTTAACCTTTTTTCGCTTACCTGTACAAGTTGACCCCAACGAAACCGACTAGTCCAACACAAGCAAACAATACCAGTAGGAGGAAGAGGGCTAGCAGCAGATTCTCCGAGAGGCGGCCAATCAACTAAACTCTCGCAATAATTTCATGTTTTTTCAACACTCAGCTGATAACCTCAGCTTACCTTTCTGCTGACAGTGCTCGACTTATCGCAGTTTTCGCCTTCGAAGTCGGGTGGACATTCACAAGTGCCGTCGAGCCTACATCTTCCGCCATTGGTACAAGTGCACTGCTTGGGCATGATGAGAGCATCCACTCGAGCTGAGCCACATGAACCGTCCTAAAGGCAGTTGACACTCTTGGGAAAGTGTAGGAGGGGATTATGAGATCACGTACAGTTCCAGGGAAGACGTTATCAGGACACAGACAGGCGAATCCTTCGTTTGGTAGCTGGACACAGATATGGCTACACCGAGCCTCGGCACATGAGCTCTTGGCCCTTGTCGAGTCGCGAGCATACCTGAGCATTTGATGTTTATTTAATGCTTTTGTTCAGTAAAATCGTTAGAAACTCATTTTTTCCTTCTAATATTGCTCAATTAATTCCAAACCTCAGATAATTTTGAAATAAGTAATTACTCTTTGAAATGTGAAGTCGCACCTTTGACTAACTCTAACGGCGTGGACATCCT